GAAGGATGAAACGAAGAAAATATTTCGCGGAATATGGAACTGAGAGGCTACCAAAAAATCTGCTCGCCCCTTTCAGTGAAATTTCAAAAATTGCCAAATTTATTAACCCCTTTCCGACTGGTCGGACGGATCGGAGGCGTCGCGTGGACAGAGGTTAATCAGATCGTACGGTCTGCGACTGTAGTTTTGGTGGGTAGCGCGCGATAAAATCGGGCGTGACAGAGACCGATGACAGAAGGACTTCCTAATAGAAGCGGCAACCCCTGGTTCTGGCCCGATATAATTAATCTTTGCCTCGTGCTGGCGTGATTGGCCCCAAAGGAAACAGGCACCCCGTGAAAAATGCGACACGATCCACTTGGCAAAAATTCTCACCCTCGGATGCCACCTCACGCCCGGGGAAAAATCGGGTTTTGTTGGCGAAGGTGAGTTCGATGGCCCTCCACTTGGAATTTCTTGCCCGGCCTGCCACGATGAATAATGAATTCTTTGCATCCACGGTTTGACACGAATACTTGCATTAAAGGGATCACAGTTTTCATTTCACCGCGCTGTAAACATCCTCGATGCTGTTGACGAAGCTGATGTTTGTAGGAGAGCTAATAGAATTTATTTAATAATCGATTCGGGTTAAGCTGATTCGATTTAAATCGAGTCCTATTTTAATTCAATTTCATATCGATTTTATTACACGTGTATTTCGGAATAAATTTGAATGTAGTTTAACTCGATGTCCGTGAAGAAGATGGCGTAATTAATTTAGCAGAAGAGTGCTCGATTTTATAGTATTTGACGAATGTAGGTTAGGTTTGATCGAGTTAGTCCATATTTTCGCCTTTTCCATTTCATACTTGCGAATAAATTCCGATTTGGTCGAAGCTGATGTTCGTGAAAGAGATAATATAATTAATTGAGGGAAAGCGTAGGTGATTTTTATACTGTTCGATCAATCTAGGTTAGGTAAGTTAGTTCGGTTTAGACCAGTTCAATTTTAACTCAATTTACCTTTTACTTTAATTTCATATTTCAAAGTAAATTTTAACATAGTCCCGGCCGATGTTTACGGAAAGGATAGCACGGTTAACTCAAGAAAATTGTAAAAACTAATTAATTTTTATAGCACGCGACGAATCGAGGTTAAGTTAAATTGATTCGCGCGGTTCAATTTTAATTTCATTAATATCCATCGAAAATCGTTCTTTCCGAGCTTTTAACCACTTTTAACCTATTTACTCTCATTGTACTCGCCTGAAAGCAATAGTTTAGTTAATATTTCGTTCGTTCAAATATATAGATACCAATGTTTTTAACCGTTACTTAACCTAGCACTGATGGAAAGAACAAAATGGCGGTGCCTTCGTCGTTTAATTCTTTCTTGTTAACGTCTTTATAATTGAAAATCGTGTTCTCCGATTTCTGTAATAAGTTTAGCTCGGTTCAAACGAAGACCAGACGAGCTTGATTGCCTGTATCCATCGCGTGCCACCCACGGCAGAGACGAAGTAACAGAGGAAGAGAGGCGGCGTCATTCAAGACGCTGTAACAGTGACAGGGCAATTATAAATGGCGGAACTCGCGCGGCCATTCAGTCTGTCGTTTCGCGAAGCACGTGTACGCCGTTTTATGGTGGCAATAACTTACAATTATGTCATCGTACCGAGTTATTTTTATGCGGCACACGCCGTCGCTGTTCACCTCCGTACGCTTTCATACGCCTCCAAATTTATTTCATTTTTTCCCCCGTTTTTCCCTCTTTTTCTTTTTTGCTCGTCGCACCTCCGCCCACTTTATCTGCTCTTTTCCTCCGTGAGAACCAACGAACTGAGCTCGGCCAAAGGGAGACCCTCGGTGTCGAAATTTCGCGGTTTTTCCTTTGTGGGGTGTACTCGTAAAATATGACAGCGAAGAGGAGGGAAAAAAGGAGAAAAACAGGGAGAATATTCCGAGAAAAATATTGACGTAACTTGAAATTATTAAGGCTCCCGATTTTTATATATACACGAAAAGGAGAAAATGAAAGGAGCAAATGAAGCGTGCAAAATTGATAAAGACGGATGGATTTATCGAATATTCAATTTTTGTTGCCTGTGAAGTAGTTTCACATGTTCCATATTTCACGTGGACTTTATCCAGCTTCACTGGAGGACATCAATTCCACGGATTCTGAACTCCGGTCCGCCATCATGGCGGCAGTTTCTATGCCAACACGGTTTCCGCGAATTTTTTTCACCGTTGCACGATTTCAACGCTCGTTTTCATCGAATTTATCGTTTACGGCGTTGTACGTTATGGACATTAAGATCAGTGGAAAAAGTTGCACCAAAGTCGGCGAATAGAGGATCGATGCCAAAACGTCTCGTCTTCCGGTTAAAATTTCCGTCTGTTTATCCGCCATCTTGGGATACTTTATCTTCCATATTGCGATAGCTAAACGTCTGCCATCGATTGTGTCATAACACCAACAACACTTACGGATCCTTTCCATGTGACAATAAGAATTTTTACATTACAATGACCAACAGCTTTCTAATTACCATCAGTTGATTTAATTAAATCGATTTAATCTCCTCGGATAAAAAGAGAAAGAACGAGTGGATAAAGAAATCGGAGAAGAGTTTGGTAAGTTAGGTTAGGAATCTTGGGGTTGACCAAAATGGCGGATTTGTCCCCCGAGCCTAGTCCCCGCTTTAGACAGGCAATCTGCCTCTTAAGAGACTCGTTCAGGACAGCCCTGAAGTGAGTTACAAGCTTTGAACACGAAACCTGAATACATATCATGGGGGTCTATGGTGCGTTGCTCCCTGGCTCAACGATACTATAATGAACAACGTCGAGACCTAAATGTACAACTCTGTTATACTACTAAATACGAGCGAAAACAGCCTTCGAACACGGAAAGGTTTGCGCACCGGTGTATCGGGGGCCTTTGATCGTGGCCAGCGTAATCACAGCACGTATGTTTGAGTAACTAGATAATGGAATGCTTGTACGAAAGTTTTACAATGTGACGCAGTGCCCGCGGTTTCGTTGCTGAAATTCGTCAAACGGCAGCCATTTTGACTTAGCGACACGCTACTGCAGTTTGACTAAAGTTACTAGAGTTACTAGAACTCGCAAATAAACTAGTTTTACGCGAATTTTCCCTTGGAGATATTTTTAAATATCATACGAATTACTATCCTCGTATTGTACAAAGTAAACTGATAATAAATGGCTTATTTGTATGTGATACAAAGTAAATTTATTTTTAATTCATAAAGTATCTTTTATAACCTCGTAACGAAACAAAAAGAATTCTGCGAAAATTTCTCAATTTTGAATAAATTGTTTTATCGCGGAAAATTGGTTGATAGTAGCTGGGCTACTGTGTAATTGCACGTAGGGGTTATGTCAAAGTACGAATCTAGTGATAAAGTTTTAAAGTAGCAGGATGAAAACAATTTAATATTCCTTTTTGAGGTTAGGAACCTTCTCGTAAAATTATAAATACATATTCGAGTACGGAAGCAGGGTGGTACATGGAAATTACTTTGGCGAATTTCCTTGAAAAGTATTCCGTGTCACGAGCGTAGCTACGAAATCTAATATTCTATGCTACGAAACAACGGAATAGTTGAGGAAGAAAGTGCATTCTTACATAGTGTACGACTGCAATGGCTGAATGCATAATCCGATGTTACGTTGCACTTGTAATCCGCTGTTAAACTTATTAAGCGCAATTCCAAGACTAACTAATTTCCGAAACTTTAATTAAGAGTCTGTCTACAATTTAAAATAAAGAGACGGCGGGTAAAGAGTCCCATTTCAAATACTGGCGCTATATACGCGCTAATGATAGCAAGAAATTTCACCAGACAGTCGTAGCTGCTCTCATTCACCATTGGCTATTGAACTTCTCGCAACGTATACTAATCTTGGCCTTGAACCAAGTTTGAATGCATTATAGCTAGTCTGCGATGTTGAATACATTTCCTCTGGCTCTATTTTCCCTGGCATTAATAATTCGCGAGACGCCATGAACATCAACAGGGTCTGTAACTTGACATTCCACGCAAAAATTGAACGGGGAATAATTTTTCTAATATTTCGAAAATCAAGAATTTTAACCAAAACTATAGCGTTGGCCCATATCCAAAGCATCGTAAAGAATCGCTATATGTATTTCTCTCTAAAAGGAAAACTCCAATTCAACTTTGTCATTTTTTACTTTATAACCCTACTTGTACCATTAATTTTGGCCCACCATGTATATCGAAACATTGTAAAGTATCACTATATGCATTTTTTCTTCAAAAGAAAAATCTGAATCTAATTTTATTATACTTCATTTTCTAGCCCTATTTGTACCACTAATTTTGGCTCACCCTGTATAACAAAGTACTTAAATTGTCACTATAAAGAATCGACACTAGCTATTTGTATCACTAATTTTACCCCACCCTATATCATAAAGTATAAAAAGTATCACTGTATATATTTTTCTCACAGAAGAAAATCCTAATGCAACTTTCTCATTCTTTATTTTCTAACTTTATTCGTTCTACCCTGTATAACAAAGCATCTAAAGTATGACTACATGCATTTTTCTAAGAAAGAAAAAGCCCAATCCAACTTCGTCCTTTATTTTCTAACCTTATTTGTACCACTAATGTTGACTCACCCTATATAACAAAGTACCTAAAGTACCACTATATATATTTTTCTCAAAAAGGAAAAGCCGGAATCCAACATTGTCATTCTTCATTTTCTACCCCTATTTGTACCATTAACTTTTGCTCACCCTATATAATGAAGTACCTAAAGTATCACTATATGTATTTTCCGCAGAAAAAAGAAAAGCCCGATCCAACTTTGTCATTCTTCATTTTCTGACCCTATTTGTAGCACTAATTTTGGCCCATCCTGTATACGAAGGCATGGTAAAGTATCGCTATAAAGAATCAGCCCTAGGTTCCCCATGAGAAACTCGTAAAAAATAGAGATCTAAGGAAAGCACTTACCGGTCTGCACGAGCTTGAGCGCGGCGCTATTGTGCTGCTTGAGCGGTTCGTTGAGCCCGGGCTGCGTGAGGTCCTTGAGAGGATTGGCGGCATCCTCGCCGGCGCCAGCGCGACTGTTTTGCATAGTCCTGACGTGTTGCTCGTGACGAGTACTCTTCGCGACCTCGTAACTACGCGAAGCCTCGTTACGGCTCGCTCTCCTCCTTCGCGTTTGCCCGCGTTCCCGTCTTCTCTCCTTCTTCTTCTTGCCCTCGTGGCCGGCGGCGACGGGGCGGTCGTTTCTCTCGTTCACAGCGATTACGGTCACCTGACAGCTCTCCGGATGATCCCCGGTCAACACTGGACTAGGATCACGGACTGGGTTCTCATAGATACGCAGCAACTCGTCCGCCGGGTAGATGACGTACATGCCCAGCCGATGGTGTCCTCGTGCTGTTCGCCCGATCGCGCGTCCAATCTGCCGATTTGCTGGCTGCCGTGGCTGCCTCCTCCGCTGCTGCTCCTGCTGCTGCCGCGTTTCTCGGCTGAGCCAACATCGCTGCCCGCCAATTCATCGTTTATGAGTCCGCCGCGAGTCACGCTGCCAGGCCACGCGAACAGTCGCATCTTCTTGGCACGCGAGCCACCCTCGATGTCTCTACGGCCGCCTCGCTCCTTCCCTGTTCCGTCGCGATGTGGCAGCTTCCTTCCAGTCTGGTAATGGGTGCTTTAAGTGGAGCTTATGGAAGAGTGGTGTTCGCCGGACTACTCGACTCTCATGGCTGGTTGGTGATTCTTGGCCTGTAACGAACAACCGTTGATTCATGAGTTCGAGGATTTTGCAACGTGGTCTGTAGCCTGGTGGTATTGGGGGTGCGAAATGGATTGACGTTCCCTGGATGGAAGGCAATTCCTGGCTTGCAATCGGAGGGAGAAGGAGGTTAATTGGCAGCTTTTGGGGATTTTATGAAGTCAAATAGTGCTCGTGCAACTCTTTTGGTGTCATATCAGCATAACATCTGCGCGATATGTGTGATAGTGGGGATTTGGTGAGTCAGGTCTCTCACGGCTGAATTATAGCCCTTGCTGTGCTGTGAAAAACATAGTCGATTAGAGCTTTCGAGATTTGGTGGTTTGGAAATTTGATGGTTTACAGATTTAGTGGTTTAGAGATTTGGTGGTTTAGAAATTTGGTGGTTTGGAGATTTGGTGGTTTGGAGATTTGGTGGTTTGGAGATTTGGCGGTTTGGAGATTTGGCGGTTTGGAAATATGAAAACCGTGTAATGTCAGTGAGTGTTAGTAAAACTGATCAGTTAGCGTGACAGAGTGTCAAGACGACTGTACCTGTGTAAGATCAGGGGTTCGATAAATGGACGGTAATTTTTGTCTTATAATAGACTAACGTGGGTTCTAGCTTGGAACTGATTTGATAATCGGTGTAATTCCTTGCCTACCAAAGCAAACAATGTCAACTATTCGGAGTGGTCTATTACTGGCACGACTACCTCACTCCTTAGTCATATCGTGACCGTATACAACGTTCTAAATCCTGATACCGTGCTATACTTTGCATCGACGTTATTCGCGGCGGTACTGCACCTAGGGATTTTTACTCTCGGCAGAAAGCGAAGTAGGGCTCAACGGAAATTAGCATTCGCTGCAACGTTTAACATTGTTGCACTATTCTGTTGCAGCGTTAACTTTGATCCCTAAATAGCGCATCTCGGGGTGTAAAATAGATCCTCTTTGAAGGTCCGCGGATATTTTCATTGAAATTTTCCATCTGGGATACAATTCGGTATTTATTTAAATAATCGCCGCACCACGGCAGCGGTTCATGTATTATTAACGAGACTCGTTTCAACTTGGTTAAGGCTGGCCGTTTGTTCCGCGAAACGGAGAGAGCTCTGTTTACAGGGTAAACGACTTATTCAACGTGTCTGAATAAAAACTGAGACGTCTTCTTATTTCCGCGGCTCGAGAGAGCAGGGACGTCGCAATGTAAATCGTCTCTAGCGATTTAAATCTAATTTCAATGCGCTTTTCAATGGGGAGGGGATACATGCAATTCATTCGAATTCGAATCTCATTTAACCACGCGTTCGACTTGATTTAAACACTAGAATCTTCCATGCCCTAGCGAAATATTTTCTTCCTGTCTCGTGACCCTGTATTTCTATTCTTTTGCGTGTCCACATTGTAGTCCACACTTCCTTTATTATAGTAAGCTTAAATTTTGATATAAAATGCATCATTTTCCACAAATGAAAGAAACATTCCGTTTACGCATCGAACCATATATAGGGTGTCCCAAAATTTATGCAAGATTTGAATTTCGCGCCATTTGTGCCATAAAGTGTTACCAACGGAAAAGAAAGACAGCATGCCAATTGACAGTTCAGGGTTACTACAAATGGTGCGCTATATGAAGGAATAATGCGTCTTCACTGTTGAGCAATATTTACAATTTCTAATTAAAAAGCTGTTCTATCAAAATTACTTGTGACGTGGATTTTGGGGCACCCATTATTTATATATTTTTCTTTTCTTCGCAATAAACGTTTCCTCTATGTCTCGATCAATTACCATGAGAGTCGCGAGGTGAACTAGTCTATTTGCCTCTATGGAAAAAAAATGGACGCCTCTACAGAGAACTCGATCAATCAATCAGTCTAACATCCTGAAGCTCCTCTTGTACCCTGATGGATTACGAACCTAACCTGAACCAACTGAGCACGCCATTCACAGAAACAATATAAATCACGTCCAACTTTGAACTTTCCTGTAACCCCATCACCACGAAACATCTACATCGCGTTAACTAAGATAGGTTCCCCTGTCTCCATCCCTTTGTCACATATTAACCTTCTGCACTCAGGGAGAGTGCTAACCTCAGTCGCCATTTAATTAAATTGTAAAGATCGATGTTAATTAATACGTCAAATTTAAAAGTACCCAACGATGCGTGCAATGTCAAAGTAAAATAATCCTGCGTCTTAATTTGCATACGATTTCTCATTTACCGTTTTAAAAGTGTCATTAAGAGTTTCTCGTATGCACCCTGTACTCGGCCTAGTAACAAGAACGAACTATAACTTCTGGAATAGTAATCCAGCACCTACTAGAATGTTGGAGCAAAGAACAATCGCGGTTGATTACTATAAAACGAGGCGTTTTCCGCTAAAGTTCAGCGAGTTGAGTTGACAGCGTTTAGGGGTTAATTTAATTCTACGTCGTGAGTATTGGGAATTATTCGGCAATCCAGCGATCGAATTTATAGAAGAGGTGTTCCAAGTGCGATCCATAACAATATCGACGACTTTATGGCAGAAAGTCTTGGAATTACTATTTTTCTGTACCGAAAAGATCTCCGAGTGCAAAGGGTTAAGGTAGTTGTCGACGCCTGACTTAACCTAACTTAGGTAGTTCCTGAATGAAAAATGTCTAACACCTCGCGGGTTCTTTTCTAAATCTCGGGAGGTTAGTAACACCGGTTGAATGAAGAGAGTAGGGCTAATTCTCCTAAAAACCTTATCTCGAACGGCGGTGAAAAAGCTGCAAGTATTAAATTCCCGCGGATGAAGCTTGCAGAGGGCCCTTTTAAGTAATTGAACCGGTCCTGAAGCAAGCGTGAACGCTGATTATTCCTTTTTCCACGACATTCTTCGCCGAGAGCTATGCAAATTGCGATAAGCCATTTTGTGTAATTAACACATCCCATTGTGAGCACGCTTCCTTGTTGGAACAAATTATGGGCCTCGATGAAGCAACTTCTAAGAGAGTTCCTAGCCGGCAAGTTAGCTTTGTTTGAGATTCGCAATGGTTTCTGCAGTCTTCAGACCTGTTGGAGGTTTCGAGTGTGGAAGAATCGTCGCGAGTCCTCGGTCCTTGTAATTACAACTCGCGCTAGGTTAGGTTAGCCTGGAATACCATATTCCTGTGCAGAGACAAAGCCGTCGAGGTCAATCTGAATTTGCGAAAACGAGAATGTGTTTCTTTGTTGACGAAATCTTCTTAGCCCAATTCCAGCAAGGTTATTAACCTTTGATCCCTTTAGAGGTTAGGATCCTCCGCCAAGGATGATAAATTCTTTTACGAGCAGATTTTTGCCTTCGCTTTGATACCAATGGACGTAACCAGGTCAGCCATCGAGAGTCTCGCAATTTTTCCATTCTGCCTGTACAAAAGAACTCTCTCAGACTCGATAAACCAACGATACCGCGAGTTCACCTCCGCTTTGTCCACACTTTTCTTCGTCAAATCGTCCCTCTGTTACGATAAAGCCACTCCTTCCAAAGAATTCACCGTGTTTCCTGTTAATTGCCAACTTCGTCGTCCCAGGATACTTTTCTTTCTCTATTTTCCTCCATTTTTTCCTCCACGAAATTTCAACGAAAATTCCACGAAAATTCCTCTCACGATTATGCGTCCGCGTTAGCTGCAATTTCCAAGTCCATTGCCTTCGGATAACGGTAAGGAACTCGTGAAACGAACTGCAGGCCATTTTTTGGCACTCCGTTGGTGCTCGGTTTTTTATTAGCATCTGGCCAGACTTCAAAGCCCAGTTGAATGATCGTAACCCAATTCATTAGTCGGTAATGTAACACGCGGTTGGAAGGCGGGTCTGAAACCAGGTGGCGCTTTTATGCGTCTCGAAAGTTCGGAAATCGCGTTACAATATCGGATTAAAAAGCTTCCCGCTGTCGTCTCTATTCGGCGACCAAATAATTGGAGCTCTCGCTCAATTATCCCGCGCTTTTTCCCCGGGCGTTGGCAGTGCATAGGCGCCATCAAATCCCCGACTGTTTTTCCCGATAAGCGCTACCAACCCTCATTTGTCGACAATTTCAACCGGTATTTTCAGCTATCGTCCAGAATTTCGCGAATGTGTCAGAGAGTACTAAGCAATTCAGAATTGTGAAATTGATATTAATTAATTAAATATTAAAAAATAAAGCGTTAAATATTTTTACTTTTAGATATCTCGAAATTTCGACGTACAGTGAATTCTGGGAATTCTACTAAGATTCCAGAAAAATTCCTCAAGTACCGCAAATTTTAAAAATATCGCCAATATTTCAAACTTCTCGAATTTTATACGTTCAACAACGTTCCGGGTCTACGTACATTCGAAATTCAATAAGTGTTCAATTCCGGATCATTGAATTTTATAGAGAAAGAATAGGAGGACGTTTCAGAGTTTCCGGTTCGTTTCAATTCCAATTGAATAAATATTAAGCGTATCCTTCTTTCCAATTTCTACGATATTGTAGAGCACATAGTATTAGCCTGTTGCGAACAACGTGTCAAACAAGTTACGTCGGAAACCACAACCACGTGTCGTCGCATAATTTCGAACATAACCTCGGCAAAATTACCGGCTGGGGTAATGAAGATATTAACCATGAAAACTTGGTAATGAATCTATTGGAATTTCTATTGCTTCGTGAATTGATATTTAACGCACAATGGCTTCTTAATTTTTTGTTATTACTATTACGTCGCATTCAAATTTCCCGCCATCGCCATCAAATCTTCAGTGAATTTACCAAACAACCTTATCGAGTTACATAGTTTCGCACACACATCAAAAATTCACTGCTTCTGTTTCATAGAATAAGTAGAAACGCCTCATCCTAGGAATAATTTTTGAAAATCACTAATCGGAAGGAATCTACTTTATTAACAAATTTACTAGGACAAATTTCGAACATTACTAGAATAAATTTCGAACGAACTTAACAGTGCTTTATCAAGATTCTGATATTAAAATAGCAATATAGAAATACTTTATTTGACG